GGTCGTAATTCCAATTCCAAGAGGCTCTTGGGTTATGTGGCAACTCTGAAAGATAATTTTGGATTTATTGAAACAGCCAATCATGATAAGGAAATATTTTTCCATTATAGGTAAGGAATACCTTTTGGGAACTTAAAGCTTTTCATTATTTTAACATTAAAATCAAAAACATTTCAATGGGGAAAGGGGTGCAGCTCCAAGGTAAAGCCTTTGGCTGGCATGAGCAAGGCCTAGGTTTGATCCCTGTACCACATACACAAAAAGTTATGTATTGTTTGGTTGATTATTTTTTTAAATTCCAGGTTTTCATACAGGTAAAATTGTGGCAAGATACATTCTAAAGTTAATCATCTACCTCTGTATAGAAAATGTGTGTCCAGAGGTTTGAATATGTGCGTTAATCCAGAAAATTAATGCCACTACCCATTAAATTATCATCCAGCCATAGACCTAGGTTTGAGAGATACCAAAAGGTCTGACAAAAGAATAGATTAGATGCCATTAAGAAGGTTCCTAATAGTATATTATGAAAGATGGCAGCAGTATTAAAGAAAAAAACAGAAAAAAAAGAAAATGTGTGACTAAAAGATAAAAAAGGCCTCTGCTGCCTTTGAACATTGGCTAAGAGCCTTTCTGGTTCATTGGAAGAATATTTTGTTGTATGTGTTGGTAACAGACAGTTGGATATTTGATGCATAGCATAGTGGCTAAGAGTATGGACTCTTAGAACCAGAACCAGATTGTTCAGTTTTGAGTCTAGGCGCTGCCATTCATGACCCTTGTTCAGTACACTGGTGAATCTTGCACAGTACACGTGTGATAGTTCACAGCTCGAATGTTTGTAAGTTGGGGACTGCTGTATTGTACTCTCTTTGTAGGGGACTACGGGGAGAAATTCAAGTCCTCTAATCCTACCTCAGACTTACTGAGTTTTAAAAGTCATTCAAATGAGTCAGTATATAAAATACTCAAAACAGTATCCGTCATAAGTAAGTGTTCCGTAAATGTTGTGAAAGAAAGGCTCCTTGCTACTGTTGATGTTTGTGATAATGTCTTATGTAAATGTTATTTTCTCTCCCCTTAGTGAATTCTCTGGTGATGTTGATAGCCTGGAACTGGGGGACATGGTTGAGTACAGCTTGTCCAAAGGCAAAGGCAACAAAGTCAGCGCTGAAAA